ACAGGTTGGAGGCCCATCTTTCTGTGCCAGATGGCTCCACATTGACAAATCAATTAGGCTCCACCTCATCACCAGGGGGACCGGGGCTACAAACCTGCCCACCTCCACCCCCACCACCCTGGGGTCCTCGGTCGACCACTCCTCCATCTCTCCTCGCCTTAATCACCCCCCTGATCCCCAGAAAGCTTTGCCTGGGTAGAGAGGGTGAGGAGGCAAGGAAAAAAAAGATAAAACAAAGAGGCTGGCAGCACATGAATCACCTAACATCAATATGAATGATTTTCATGCTAATGCGGAGGGGGCCGGAGAGGAACAGTGGCAAAAAGCTTGATTTTGTGAGTGTGTGTGTGCGTCTGTGTGTGTCTGTGTGCGTCTGTGTGCATGTGTGTGTGTGTGTGTTTACAAGCTCAGTCAGAGCAGATTTGCAATATGCTGAAGAGCCAAGTGTTTCTAGTTGTTTTTTCTTTCCCTGTGAGGAGGTGGGAGAGGAGGAGGAAGATGAAGAGGAGGAGGAGGGTGGACATTTGGGGAAGTTAATCCAAGGAGAATAAACAGCGCAGCCTGGAGCAGGTATGCATCTGGGTCGCGGAGAAGAGGGCAAATCAATGTTCTTCACTACACCCTAGTGGGAGAGGAGAGGCACAGCAGGGAGGAAGATGGACTCAGTGCATCAAAGAATCTTCAATTGCAGGAATTCCTGATGAGCTGCACTGCTGTTGGGAGGTTTGATTAGAGATACAGATGATTTAAAATAAAAATCCATTCAAATGTCAAAGATTTATACAAACAGACAGGTTATATTTTCACATACCTGTACCTGTGCCTGGTCGGTTCACTGATGAAAACCATGAGATGGTGTTTAAAACCCTGAAAAGGTAAGTGGGTTTGATTTTGTCACAAAGCCTCACTGGATTTTGAAAACAGAAAAAAGGACTAAGTTAGATAATAATAATAGTAAACTTCATTTCTATATCACAATTTATGCGTAACATGCAATACAAAATGCTACTTAAAAGCAAATAAGGATCAACAACATAAGACAACATAAAATATTTGTATGGATGATACTAGCCCTGTAAATCCTTAGGTATACTCTACTCTACAGCATGGAGACTAAAATTGCTTGGTATCTTAATGTGCTGTTGTTCCACAATGTGATACAGAAGGAAAAAAAGGAAATACTCACAGCTGGGAAAAAAAATGTGGGAAATGTAGAGCTCCAGGAAAACAAAAACTGAGATTCTAGTTCATCGCAGACTTACACACTTGTAATCTTGGATTATTTCCTATTAGTACAATACATTAAAGTGCATTCATGGTGTGGACACTAAATCGTCACTTGGAGGGAGCTGAC